GGCGCACGCCTGAGGCAGGAAGATCATTGTGAGTTCAAGACCAGCCTGGGCTACAAAGTGAGCTCAAGGCCAGCCTGAACTACATAGTGAGACCCTGTCTCAAAAAGACAAAAAAAAAAATTTCAAACCTGATTTAAATTTGATATTGATACCACACATGTTCATCTTTGCTGTGCTAAGCCAGGGCATCTGGGGAGACTGTTCTACGAGTGGGGAATGGGCACAAAAAGATGACACTTGGTGGGCAGGAAATGATGACCTAACTCAGAGAAGGGAGGGAAAGAGCAGCTTGGCTGTGGCCTAAGGAGCGAGTGGTTAGAAAGTACTAGGCTCAGTGTCTGGTAGGAGGTAGGTGGGACTCAGGCCCTGAGATCCGTCAGAAAGTTGCCACCAGTTGTGTGTAGTGACATAAGCCTGTAATCCCAGCATTCAGGAGACTGAGGCAGGAGGATCTGACACAAGTTCAAGGCCAGCCTGGGCTACATTGTGAGTTCAAGGTCAGCCTGAAGTATGGAGCAAGATTCTGTCTCAAAAAGCCCCCCAAAATTTTAAATTAATTTAATTTTAAAAAAGAATGTGGTCACCAAAGCCAGGGGAGTAGATAAAGTGACAAGAGAACAGAGTCACAGAAATATAGGAGTTGGTGGAGAACAAGCTACCAAAGGAGGGCACGGTTGGGTTACAGAAGCTCTGACAGGCACACTCTACCTGACGACCAAAAGTCACCCACTGATGTCCCAGTTAGAAAGGGGCAATGGGCCACTGCTGAAGCTGTCTCAATAGAGTAGTGGGAGCAGAAATCAGATTTGGCTTGGAAGCATGTGAAAAAGCAGAGGAAGTGGAGATGACAGCAAAGACTGCTTTTCAAGAAATTTGGTGTTAAAACAATGGGAATGCACAGGTCAAACCCCAAGGCAGGGTTTTTGTTTCAGCTCAATAATGAATAATACAGACAGGTGAGGCAACTTCAGGTGGCCAGGAGCAAAGGCAGCATAAAGGGCAAAGGAGAAGCCCTCATTATCTAATGTACTGTAAAATGCCGAAACAGTTTGGAGCCAGAGATGTAATTCGGCAAGTAGAGGACGTGCTCAGCATGTGTAGAGATAGGTCCAATCCCCAAACATGAAAAAAAAAAAAAAAGTAACTAACTTAAAACAAGAGAGAGAGAGAGAGCACCAAGTATGGTGCCATATACTTGTAATCCCAGCACGTGTGGAGGATGAGGCAGGAGGATCTCTGTGAGTTTGAGGCCAGCCTGAACTACATAGTGAAACCCTGTCTCAAAAAAAATCAACAAAACATGAAAGAAATTAGAAAAAAATTATGAAACTAAAGAGGAAAGAACGAAACAGAAATGTTTAAGGAACCAGAAAATTACACGCACAAACTCTCCAACTGAACACACCAATTCATTTCATCCTTCAGTGGCCCTTGCTTAGTCTTCTGCATTGAAAGAGAGTAACTAATTCATGTCTGCGTGTGATCGCCTGCCACGGGTACCGTTCCCTGCAATGCCCCACTCTTTCGCTCTCTTGACATTTTCTTTTTTTTTTTTTTGGTTTTTCTCCGGTACCGGGAACTGAACTCACGACCTTGCACTTGCCAGACAGGTGCTTTTGCCGCTGAGCTAAATCCCCAGCCCTCTCTTGACATTTTCTTAATCTTACTGCAAAGAAGACTCACCTCCATTCCTACGAGCTTTCTCTCATTTCACTCCAGATTCATAACCAGTCTACACCTGGCCAGGCTTTGGCTTCCCTTCCCCCCCGCCTGGTTCCCAGGACACAGGTAAATCGATCCTTAAGAGTCTAAAGAAGGAATGGCCATTTCTGTATCCTTCTCGGCGCCTCCTTACGATTTAGCTGTTTGCTTGTCTTTTCTCTTTCTCTGTTCACTGTCTGAAGCTCTGGAAATCAGAACCCTCAGCTCGCAGGGAGCCGCGGGGGTGTAAGTAGCGGCGGGAAGCGCAACCAGGCGGACTCCAGGAGCGGCCGGCAGAGGGCGCACCGGGACCGGGAGAGGCGCGGCTCCGGTGGCGACTGTCCCGGCTAGCGTGCTGCGGAAGAGCAAGCCCGGCGACCCGGCGGCGCGTGGAGGCGCGTGTGCTGCTCCTGGGCGCTCAGTCCTGGCTAAAAATACACGGTCCAGCACCGCTTGTCATCCCAGTTGGGGGGAGGCGGCCATCAAGAGGAGCGACTTCTGGGGCCTCATTATTTTCGGAAGGTAGATTTATGGCTCCCAGGACAGATGTCTCCGATCGCCCAAAACCCGGCACAAACTTCGCAGGAGGCTTCAGTCTTCTCCTCTGTGGATGAGGGCCATTCATTGATCCCATACCTGTTGAGCCATGGGAGGTAGTGCACACCTGCAATCTCGGCTATTCCGGAGGCTAAGGCAGGAGGATAGAAAACTCGAGGCCAGCCTGGGCAATTTAGGGAGAGTCTCCCTCAAAAAAAAAAAAAAATATTAAAAAGGAGTTGGAGGTGGAGTTGGGGATGTAGCTCAGTGGCAGAGCCCTTGCCTAGCATATGTGAAGCTCTGGATTCCATGCCCACTACCACAATCTATAAATAAATATTGAGCATCGTGTACTGTTCCAGGTGGCAGGTAAAACTGCAAGGTTCTTATGGTTGTGTTCACAGTCTAGCGTGAGGTGGAGGGGTAGAATAAATAAGCAAGTGATTACGATCGTTTCCTATTGTCAAAATGCAATAAGAAAAGTCTAATGAGATATGTAAGCCTATACTTACAGTAAGGAGAGATACATAAACCTATGCTTGAGGAGGACCACCCTAGGAGACACGAAGTTTCCTCTGCCTAGAGTGCACCCTCCAGGTGCCAAGGCGGGGGCTCCTCCGCGCCCAGCGCAGAGAGCTGAGAGAGCATGAAACTAGAGAAGGAGACACAAGCGCAGTGGTGGCCTGTGGGGAGGTTGAGATCGCCTGGAAGAAGCTAGAGAGATCTTTCTCGGGTAAGGGGAACAGATATTCTAGTTAGGATGTTAGCGACATGGGGCAAAGAGCTAGGTGCGGTGGCGCACATCAGTTATCCCAAAACTCTAAGAGGCTGAGGCAGGAAGGGTCCAAACTTAAACCCAGCCTGCGTAATTTAGCTACTTAGTGAGACTCTGTCTTTTAAAAACAATTTTTTTTAAGGGTCAGGGAAATAGCTCAGTATGAAGGCCTTTTTTCAGCGAAGAGAAATGCTGTGTACTGTATTTAACTGTCTCAAAAACAAACAAAATAGGCTGGGCAAAGAGCTCAGAAGTAGAGCACTTGCCTCGCATGCACAAGGTTCCGTCCTTTACACCGAAAATAAAATAGTTGCATGCGATTTCAGCGTGGTTAATTAGGTCTAACTAGCCCCGCCATAAGTTCATTTAAAAACAAAGAAAACAAAAAGGGCCCCTGCTTGAGAGCGCAACTGTGAGGTGGGAAAAATCATTCTGCGGCGCTTTCCAGCCTGCTCCGTGCCGACGCCGCAGCCCCGGCGGGAACTATCTCTAGGGAGAAGGTCCCAAGGGTGGCGGTGGTTGGGAGAAGGCGTCTCCCCGAGCAGGGGACGCGCAAATCGGTCTGGAGGGTAGACCGAGCGGGGCCAGGACTGAGGCTGCTGACTGTGTATCCCAGGTCGTCAGGGGCAACCTCGGACCCGCGCCTCTGGCCCCTCGCTTTAGCGCAGAGGACAGGTGGCGGTTGAGGCGCGACCAGCCCGTTTGATTTCCCGCGGCCGGTGGAAAAGGGAAAGGGGGAGGGGAAAGAAGTCGTCAGCCAATTGGTTGCGCCTGGTACCGTCACGTGACGGGAGGGGCGGGGCCCAGGTGTACTTACGGGGCGGCGGGCGGGGGCCTCCGCTGCGGTGCGAAGTCCGGGAGGCGCGGGCTGCGGGGCGAGGATTGGCCTGTGGCCGGGAGGCGGGGCCTTCGCGCGACACAGCGGCGGGCTACGATTGGCCAGGCCCGGGACCCGCTGCCGGCGTGCGAGCGAG